TTGGGCTCCACCTGCCTCCTTCTCATGCTGTGGCTGGGCACCTAGTTTGCTGCTGTGGTCTCACCCCTGCTCCATCTGCCTTGAATACCCCCTTCCGCCCCTATTTCTACCACTGAGGGCTGTGCTCAAGTGCCCACCCTCTCTAGCAGCTCCCCACCCTCCCAAGTCCACCCTTCCCTGCCTGCCGGGGGCAACTCGCTCAAGGGCTGCTTTCCTCATTGGACTCCGGGGAGAGGGTTCGTGTTTGATTCGGCTTTGGAAATGGCACGGATTCATTTCTCTGTGTGCCTTCGTCCTACAAGAGAAATGATCTCAACACTGTCGTTTTAGTTAAGAACTTTGGGTCTTCGTTCTCCCCCAGCCCAGGTGCCATTTAAGAGTTCCATTCCTCGCCATGAAAAATCATCCTGTACAAGTCTGCAGGAAGAGACTTTTCTGACCAGGACATTGGTTCAGAAACCTGAAAATGAAAACCTTCCCCTGGGATGGTCACCCAAACCAAACCAAACTCGCTGCCATCGAGTGATGCCGCCGACTCCCAGCAACCTGTACCCACCGCTTTTGATTTCAATTGGAGCAAGTCTCTGAACAGCGTGCTCTGCTGATGGTTTTTCTTGGGTTTTGCTTCAATTTAAATGTTGTCTTAGTGAACTGTGGTTATTGCATAACCATCTTTGGAAATCTGCCTTTAAAAAAGAATTAGGAAGTCAGTATATTGCTGAGAAAATGCCCGGTGTTTTCGTTGTTTTTCCTTCCTTCGTGGTATTGTATCATTTTTGCGGTCGGTGCACTGGATCGTCAAACTCTGATTTTACCTCATGTATCTGATTTTGTCTCTTATCTCTCATCTCATTTAGAAGCCCTTTGTCGTGTGACTGACTTAAGTGCTATGTGAACATAGGGGTCCGCCCCCCGTTTTCTTTCCACTGAGCAGTAAAACACCGCAGGTCAAAGGAATCCCAAACCTGGACCTTCCTTTGCTTTGAGCTGTGTCTGGTGATTTTCTTGTTTAGACCACATGGTCAAGGGATGCGCAAAGCATTCCCTACCATGCCCAAGGCTGCCAGAGGAGTGCTAAAGCAACTGAGCGTGCTGCCCGCCTGTCTTTGCTGGTCATCTCACGTTTCCCCTTTGGCATTGCACCTACAGGTCCCCCAGGGAATCCTTGAACGGAACAATGTGACCACCCTGAACATAAGTGGGGAAGCTGGAGCCACGCTGGACCTGCTGGTGGAGAACATGGGGCGCGTGAACTATGGCAGGTTTAACAATGATTTTAAGGTAGGATATGCACACCAGGCAGCCACTGGGTTCATCTCTGTTATCTTATCGTGGACATGCTGCTCTCTTTGCACTGGATTGAAGTGCACTGGCTTGTGACATGCGTAAGAATCCGGTCGACAGTCAAGGTCAGAACCATGTCTTCAGGTTGTGCTGCAAGCCAGGATTCTGATTGACTGGACCCGCCTCTTCTCTGAGTCATCCGTTGACCACAGGCGCTGCAGCGTTCTAGAATACCCAGATCGCTCTTCACTCTCCTAGCCTACTTTTTAAAAATCCTCTTACCTGCCGAAATTTTTTAAGTTTTCATTTCTTCTCCATAAATATAGTGAGCGTGGTCATTTTCTCACGTCAGATAACTTCAACATCTTGAGTCTCTGGGAATCTGTTTTTGTTGATTCACGCTTATGATTTCATATCACCACATCTGCCTGGTTATTTCGCATTGTGTTCCACCACAATGTATTTTTAAAGTGTTTTAGAAATAATTTGAGCCCTGAGGTTGATTTTTGTGCATTTCTTTTCTTTTTTTTATCTCTTAATTCTTTTTTTT